GTTTTAGTATAGCTATTAAAATAAACTAGAGATCACATTTACAGACAAGAAATGTCTGTTATAATACTCATTTTACTTTTTTTTACACCCCTCAGTAGCTTTACTGCATCGTTCTTTGTCTGAGAAGAGCCAAGCTTCTCGGGCAGTTTGAAAGGTAGCTGACTATTAAATGATAGAAAGCTAACCTATCTTATTAGAAGTGTGAATGAAAGGGGAGCAGAGGAGGTTACCAGCTTGTGAAATGTCAGGGACAACTAGACAGAAATTACTGCAAATAGGTTTAGATCACTAGAATCCCTATTTTTATTAACTCTTTGAACTCTAGATATTTATTGTGGTAAGAAATTACCCATGACAGGTTATGTAGTCAGAAAGATTTATTTAGAACCTTTGATATGTTTTGGCAAGAGCAAAGAAACCAATAAAATTTACTGAATTGTATCAATTAATGAAAAGTTATATATCAGCTGAATGACATACAATAACAATATGCATCTAAAATGCTTAATTGGTCTGTGAATATTTTAAAAATACCAGGATTTTTAAAAATATTGATCTTATGTGTCTTTTCTCTTTGCACTCCCTCATTTTATGCCTGCAAGCTGATGCAACTTCTGGGGCAGCTTTTTTATGTTCTTATTTTTGATGTTTTCCTTCATGTCTTGCTTTACACTGGCTGACTCAATGTTTCTAGTGTAGGAAGAAAATATTTTTGAGATTTGTCTTTCATGAACATTTTTAGCTTGAAACATAAACTTCTCAAAATCATGGTAGCTTCAAACAAGCATTCCTTTGCATAGGCCTGGATTTGCATTGACCTTTTACCACTAGTGACACTGAAATTGCAGTAGGAGTTTTAAGGATCCGCTTATCAGCTCTTCTGTCTGTTAAGTGGAAAGCAGATTGGGAGACAGAAGGTCCTCTGTGTCCCATCTCCTGGTGTAAATACCATCCCTGAGATACATTTTCCCCCTGCTAATTTCTGAGTCTCCTTGTTCCTGTCTTCCAGGGGAATTTAACAATGACCCTTCTAAAGTATGAAGCTGGTGATTTGCAAGAAGCTATGTTGCATGGCAAATTACACTGTGCATAAAAATGAATGAGAAATAGCAGATCCTGTCAGAAAAGCATGCAATCTTAATCTCTGATCTAAAGACCACAGAGATGGATAAAAACATTTATTTTGGCTTCTGTGTGATGAACATGTGACAAAATATAGTAAGGCCAAAGTATATATAGGAGTAAATTGTTATGCACTTCTTAGGAATAATTCTACTAGCTAATTTGGCGAGGTTAAAATAATATTTTATGTATCTGTAACTAATACTCAAACAATATAACAATATGGAAGGCAAAATCATTGTCCTTCATTCAGATTTTTAGGAGCTGTAAAGCTGGTAGGATAATGCTTTCCAAACATAATAAATTATGCAAAGAGAAAACAGTAATTTGTTCTCTGTATCTGGGATGGATTGATAGCTAGGACAAGGGAAAATGGACTTAGATTGTGTAAAGAAAAATTCAGGCCAAGCATTAGGTAAAACTTCCTCTGATGAAGAATACTCAAGTCAGTTGATGGAAGGATTGTGGAGTTGCTGTCACTCAACATTCTGGGGGAACAGGGTAGACCAATATCTGCCAGGAAAGATGATATAGCTGAACCTCTTCTGGAGTGGAGGAATGGGCAAGGTCATCTCTCCAAAAATGACCCTGGAAACAGGTATCTGTTCCTTGTCCTTAACAGTAAAAGCACCAAGAGAGCTGTCTTTCTCTAGCTATAATCTTTATTAGAATGCAAACTGGTACAAGCCCACTTATGAAACAAAGAAAACCCAAACTCTGTCTGAGAAAAATGTAAATAGGTTTTGAAAATAACTCTAGCCCTTGCTAGTGTTATCCTTTCCTTCATTCTTGTGTTCATTCTTGCAGATTTCAGTGGTTTCTTGTTAAAGCAATTTCCACTGGGCCCCAGTTGTCATCTTGCTGTCTCTGCTGAGGTTCACTCCTGTCTGCAACTTGCTTTTCCCAGCAACCTCCCAGGTTCTGTCCTTGTTAGTCCCTTCTCTCTCTGCTTCTCCCAGCTGTACTTCTCCTAGTGAAGCACACTTAGGGGCCCTGGGGAACGGAGTATTCACCTTTCTATCCTCACCCAGCACCTGCCATTGGCATGAGGTAGAAGAGACAGCTTTATATTTTTAACAATGGAATAAACAGTGAACACATAAAAAACCACTTTTCTATCACACTTCTCTAGATTAACTGTTTTCCATGCTTCTAAGTAGCTACACATTTTGAAGATCTTTCGAAATGTTAGCGGGTTCAAACTTACAGTGTGCCACAAGTTTTCATAATGGATCTATGTTTTAGTATATTTTCATTCATTCTCTAGAAATAAGAAGGGGATAGATTTATCTGAGCAGTTTCTTAGTCTAATTAATAGTGGAGATAGCAAAATTACAAGAGAAATATCAAAAGCTACCAAAGAAAACTGAATGCTTAATGCAAAGTATGGGAAATACATCAGTATCCGGAAAAGATCACACACAACATTGTTTATATCTCAAGGAAAGGTTCAATTCATGCTAAATAGTACTCAAAAAACCAAACAATATTGTAGGCTGCACTAAAAAATAACATTGAAGATAATTTTGAGACTATAACACAGTGGATTTATTAAATTTTTTTGAAATACTGTGTTTAGTTTCATTACTTCAGAAAAAAAAAAAAGAATACCAGAAGTGTAACTGAAATGATTAAGGTTCTAGAGAGAGTGTTATTTGAAGAGGATTTAGAAGTCTGGCAGTGGTTAGTTTCCAGAGCACAGGAATAAGACAGGTCAAACTAAACATATACAACACAATAAATCTTATGAAGAAAGTTAATCGCATGCTTTCTATTTATGTTTTCTGTTATACCAGACAAGGGAACATTAAATTACACTGAAAGCAAATAGCAACAAAGATAAAATTACTAAATGGAAATACCATTAAAAATATTTAATGACTTAAATCCCTTTGTTTCAAGATACCCCCGAAGTCAGAATGTTAGTAGAATTCTGTTAACATTACATGTGTCTCTAGGTATCACAAATCTTTCAGATACGTTAGATGTGAAAGTTCACAATTGGATCCTAGGTCACTTAAAACTGAAAAAGGAAATTTAAGAGTTAACGTATCTTCGATGGGATCAAAAACTTGTTTACAATTTGACATTGCAGGTTAGTACACCACCATGTTTCTTAAAAAATGGTGATAATTAAAAGCAGTGGGGTGTGTTTCGAGGCTTTTATGCAAAATAGAGATAAACTTTGCTTACTTCTTTAATAAGTTCTGTTTCATTTGAATATTGACAATTGAATTTCGACAATAATATTTTATCATTCTGAGGTGCTTATGACTTTTCTTTAAGGCAATGGTTTTAGTTTTTCAGTGATTTGTATGGTAGCACATGTTGGGTTTCGGCCAGTTTTTAGTTCCAAGTTAGTAGTAGCTTGTTGAGCTCTAGAAAGATTAGTGTCTAGTTTTCTCCAACTGCGAGGATCAGTCAGTCTTCTTAGGGCTTCATTAGAGAACACCTTGGGAACCTGACAGTTAGAAATACTCAGAGTAAATCAGAGGTATATGATCAAATTTAGTACTGTCAGTAAAATGTTTTTTTCTTTTAACCTTACAGGATATGCAGGATTGCTTTTAGTTTGACTTTGCTCTAGCAACTATTTTATTATTTACTGCATGCAGTATATATATATTTTTTAAATTACAGCTCATTTCATAATGAGCTATTCAAGCTCAGGCATGTCTCACTTGGTTAGTGTTTTGCACTGGTCAGATATTAATAGGCATTGCATTTTAGTCTAATCTGAATTCAGACTGTTTATAGTATGTTAAAAATGATATAAAGAAGCAAGTAAATTGCCTCTCTGAAAAAATATTTTAAATTGTAACATAAATATTCTTGGGGTTTTTAAAATTTAAATTAATACATTTGAAAGGACCATCTATGCTTTAACTGCTCTACTCTCTATGGAGTTGCAGATCAGATTTAATTAGATAAGTTTGTGTCTGCAGTGATGTTTTTTTTACGCTTCTCACGTCTGCAGCCTTTGAAAAGACCACAAAGAGACTCAAGTTTCAGGTGCTGTGTCATCAGTTTTGATCATGTTACACAACTGAATGCCATAATGCTTTTAGCAATGTAATTTTGTGAATTCAACCCATAACTGGATATTAGAAAAGAGAGAGTGGGCTTTAAAGCTTTTTTGTTATTGCAGTTCAATACTTACTGCTAAAATAATAAACAACAAATGGCAATATTTATTATGTCAAAATGCCTTTCTATTTAGCTATCCTGGAAATTGGGAAAAACTTCACACCTTAACTTATCTATAATGTATTAATACACTGCAGATGGTCTTTGCTACTCAGTTACTGATCTTTCACAGTTTAAATATCATGTATTTCTGTTTTAAGGACATTTGTTGTACTGACATTTCTATATCCATGTATTTTTTAATTTTTCTTACAATAGAAAGATTCATTCACCCTGGATTTCTTTAATTGACAATTTCTTATGCAATTAAAGAATAAAGAAAAATTAAAATCAATACAGTACTATATCAGCAACTATTTTCTCCCTTTTAAATAGTTTAGTTAAATAATGATTACAAAATCCAACATATTTATAGTATTGAAGGCTTAGCATACAATTCTTGTACCGCTTATTCTGAAGAGGACTCCTTTATTGATATGCACTGCTGTCCAAAGTTATCCTATTCATAAAACAAGATACGGGAAAAACAAAGACTGAATATTTCAATATGAAAAATATGTTTGACCATAAGTACAAGAAAACATACTATAAAATTTCTTAAACAAGTGCACAGAAGCATAAACAAAACCAGAAATGCTTTAATGTGTACTACAACAGAGCCTGATTCTGGCAGAACCATTTAGAATCTCTATATAAATGTAAAATCTCATTGTGTGTTTTCTCCTTGCTAGGAGTTAATTCCAGAGTTTTACTACCTACCAGAGATGTTTGTCAACAGTAATGGCTATAATCTAGGAATCAGGGAAGATGAAGTTGTTGTGAATGATGTTGATCTCCCGCCATGGGCCAAGAAGCCTGAAGACTTCGTCCGTATCAACAGGATGGTAAGCTGCACTTTAGTTCAGCCTAAGTAAGAAGTTCTGTGTTTTAACAAGCTAACCTATTGCTCGTTTTCATCTCCTTGCAACTGGATTTACAGAAACAATATAAAAAATGAAAGACAATTTTCATTGTCTTGCTTGACAGAACCCTTTATTTTACAATGAATTTTCCTTCCATGTGCCCAAATAATGGAAAATTAAATTCAGTTACTTACTCTCTCATGAGAAAGCATCAGATGGGCATGAGCTGGACAGTACAGGGTAGCCTGGAAAATTTAAGTCTGATCCTCCTCACCACCTTCTACATAAAAAAATAAAAGGCTATTTTAAATGCTGGTATCTTGCAAGATATATTTCTTACTCGACTGAAGCTATGCACTTCCTATTCATCAGGGATGAACTGGAAGTGTAGAAATATGAACATAAGCCAACAAATGCAAGAAATTTTGCAAAAGAACTACTCTGATATCTGCAGAATTTAAGCATGAAAACCCATTTATCTATGTTGTATATTTTTCCTTTAATTTGATAGATAATAATTTTATTAATGATAACATTAATACATACTTAATGCTTCTAGTAATTTTTAGGAAAAACAAGGTATATTCTGATGGTTTGGACAGCAGTAGTTCAATTTATGGTATTGTCCTGAAAATGGATCTTTCTTAAAATGCATATTTCTTGTCTTGCTTATAGAGTCAGGACTATACTTTCAGTAAGCCATGTATATCCGTACAGTTGCAGAAGAAAGTGCTTTTGTTGTAGGATTATAAGTCTAGCAGTGTTGCTTTTCTTCTAATCAATTTAGCAATTTAATTTCAAGAACTGTCTATTGTTCTTCAGGAGTTGATAAAAAAAATAGCCATATGAAGTTTGAAGAATAGAAGAATATTATAGAAACAAACCTATCCCTAGATGTATATGTTTGAGAAGTGTCCTTCATTTAGAAGAGTAAATGGCTTGACATATGCACAGCAGTCTCCTAAGGAAGTAATGGCAACCTTGTCACTTGAGACATACAAAATAAACTACAACAAAGCATGAGAAAAGTGTTCCAAGGAGTGGTCCTTTGTTGGCAGGGAGAAGCTGAACAACATTTTCCTTCTTTTTGTTGGCTGATTTCTCTTATAGCTGCATACATTATAACGTTCTAAAACCAAGTAACTGTCACAGCCGGTGGCAATAAATTCAAGTACAATTTTACTAGCAAAGAAGGAGGTGGCCTCAAAGCTCCATAAGCGTTCTGAAGTGTGGGATGCACAATCAGAGCTACTCCAGAGTGCCCATGTCACTGCACAGAGCCCTTTTTTTGGACTGCGGTTGTTGTGGCTAAACCCAAACTGGGTGCAGGAGTAAGCACACTAAAGTTGACATCTGTAAGAACAGAAGTGTGATACCTTAGTGAAAAAGGATAAACAAGCTGCCACCTATTGGGGAATATAATGAGAGATGCATATTAATAACTCCCTTCGGGAAATTTTATAATGAATATTCCTTCTTGTATCCTAAATTGTGTTTTCTCCATCTTTCCTTTCCACGAAGATGGAATGATTAATAGCAGGATAAAAGACACTACGTGATAAGAGATCACTTGAAGAAAAGCTTTAGGTTTAGTTTATTTGATTTCTCTCATGCAATTTCTGCTTTTTAGAAAATAGCATAGAAGCTCTCTACAGAAAACTTTTGTACTGTTGAAGAAAACAGCTGCTTGCATGAATTTAGAGTGTAGCATTTATGCCTCTTCAGGACGTCAAGAAAGACCAATAGTTACAAGCTGGAAATACCTTTTAAATATTAAGCTGTAACAGCACTAATGACTGATTTCATACATGTGTAAGTATGCTCAGACTGCCAGTAGACAGACAAACTGATGTTAAGGTTCAAGTAGTATTAGAATCACATGGTTCAACTAATGGAGTACTTCTCAGATTTCTAAAATCAGAAATCATCTCACTTATGTATCATACCCTTCCTATACTATCTTCCACCCCTGTCCCCACAGATGTGAGCATCATGCTGTTATTATACAGTTTTGCCTGGAGGCAGTTTATGCATGGCCTTTATTCATTCCAGCATCTACTTTTAGCAAGGGCATGATCAATAGCTAAAATTCAGTTCTACACTGATACATGCTATCTTCTAGTGAACAGTCTGATGAAGTTCACAAATTATAATAAAGTTGGGAATTGCATAGAAACCAGAAGAAATAAGTATAGATTTATTTGAATTAGATGCAGAAAAAACACTGAAAATCACCTTGGGAGGAAAGAATTAAAGATATTCAATAGGAAGCAGAAGTCTGGAAACAAAAATAGCACCAAAAATAGACCAGTAGCAAGGGAAGGGTGACAATGAGCAGCAATTAGATTAGATAAAACTCTGTAATTCTATATTCACCAGAAACAAGTGTATTTTGATGCCATCTATGGAGAATCATTGCATCACAGAGGATGTAAACAGTTGTATCTGTGTATAGTCCTTTTGAGACTGCACCTGGAATACTGAATTCACTTCTGGGAGACTAAAAGACAGAAAAAATATTCACATTTGGATGGAGTTCAGAAGACAGAAACAAAATTATTAACTTTAGGATGTTTAAAGAGCATCATATATGCATAGTTTTTTATAAAGCTTAGAATAAATTAGCAAGTAGCTAAAGAAGGATAATCTCTTTCACAAAAATGCAGATAGTATGTGTAGCAAGAAGTAATGGAATTACATTTTCAAAGTGTAAAAATTTTTCAGAAAAACTTCCTCACATAGGGTTTTATGAACACATACAGCAAACTGCCAATACTCTCTTGTTTTGGTCACTAGAACTAGACTGTCCAAAGTAAGGAACAGATATTAAAGGATTGGAAAGTTTGACATTCCCTACCTCATGTCTGATTCCATGTTTTGAACTGGCCAGCAGATGTATTATTCAGTTAGGTCATCCCCAGGCCAAGCTTTGGCTGTTACACAAGAATCTATCTTGAGAAAAAAAACAGCCTGGGTGTGGTGCTGACGTGTAAAACACAGAAAGCTTGTGCAAGCCTGGAACTTCTACAGCAATTTAGCAAAGCGAGTAGAGAACACAACTGCAGGAAAGCCACAGAAAATTGAGGAATATTTCAAGTAAATGTTGTCTTGATCCCTTGTCTAATGAAATCAGCAGCAGCCATCCCATTTCAGTGGAAAGGATCCTATGTGATACTGTGTAACATACAGTGGGATCTTTTTTTTTCCCTAGCTGACAATATTTTGTACTGTTCATACGTATTTTTTGCTTACTGCAGGCATATATAGTGTGTAATTTAATGTGGGAGTAAATAAAAATCCTTATATACAGCCTACTTGCACATATATGAATGTGAGCATTTTCTTTAAATAGCAGCAAGACTTTCAGCATTTCATCCTGAGACTTACCAAAGCAAGTAGAGTACAGCCTAGAAAACGTCACAGAGGCACAGTGACACAAACCAGCGTAATTTAACCAATTGATTAACAAACTTTACTAAAATTCTGTGCAAATTAATAAATGGCAGGCAGGGTTTTAGTGTTGTTTTGGCTGCCTGTTCTGCTGGTTTACACTTCAGCTAAACACAGGAATGGAAATAAAAATGGTTTGTCATCAGAAGAGATTCCTTTAAACTTATGAAAATTAGAGTTACCTTAAAGATCAGAAAAAATATTCAGTCAAGTTACTTTTAAGACTTATTACAGTAGCTTCTAAAGCATTCTGTGTATACATCAGGGATTGTTGTAGCAGTTTTATTTACCCATACAAAGCTAGACTGATTACTACGGAGTTACTCATGAAACATTAATAAAGCACTATGTTCAATGCTAACATGATTATGGTCTGACCTCGGCAATGGCACAAAGGACAGAGGCAGAAAGTGTCCCTGATAACATTACCCTAATGCAGGGCTCATCAATCATAATCTCCCAGTTTACCAGGAAAAAAAAACCCACGCATAAAATGTTCCACAGATGTGCATCTGTAGTCCTACTCAGCCTCTCAGTCCCCACAGACTTAGAGCGGTCCTGAGAGCCAGAAATAGAACAGATTCAGTCAGTAAGTCAAGCATGTTAAATCAAGGCAGTGAACACCACTGTGAAACAGTGAAGCAGAGCTTTTATAATAAGCATTCTTTAGTTTTGAAACAAAAGATGCAAGATTGTGTAATTCAAAGTTAATTATGATGATATTTTCATTATGGCTTATGCACATATTAAATTACAAATTACAGCGTTGAGTAAAATGCATTCACTATAAATTATATTTTTGAGAGACTAAAATGTGTTCTGGTTTTGTTATACATATTTTGTTCCTATTACATAACTTACTAATATTGAATTTTCTTTCTGTCTGTGAATGATTTATTTGCGCTCTTTTGCTGCCAATTACATTTTTGTACAGTTCCCTGGCTATTCAGAAGCATGCATAGTATTTCATAATTAAAAAGCTTCTTGAATAGTCATTAGAAATGTCTATTATGAAATCTCTGTGCTATGAGGATATGGAAGATTTATCATTTATCTTTTCTCCTCACCATTGAGAAGCAGTTGACATTCTACTTTTACCAGATAAACAGTAGATAAGATTTGATATTACTTCCTCAGTAGTAGCTTTGATTTTATTTTGTGTATTGCCAAGGTTTGTTCTCAATGCAATTAAAACTCATTCAGCTAACAGAGATTTCAACCTAATTTGGAAATGGCAGTGATTTTTTTAAACCTTCTCTATTGCTGAAGAATCTCATTTACATCTTGAAGACACTCACATAAAGGATCAGTTTCTGTGCAGACATCCCTGAATAACCCAAATATGTAGAATGCACTTCTGTGTCACTTTTGTTAAAATATTACTTTGCTTAAATGAATATAACTAATTTCAGATATCGGTATTGCCTGTTTATTTTGTTACAAGAGCAAAGATTTTACTCCAATAGTCAGTACAAGAAATGGTAGATGAAACAGATATTAGGTGGAGAGAATCTGTGTATTCAATGGGTGTA